CCCAGTCCCTCTTTCTTTTTTTTTTTTTTTGGTATCAGGGATTGAACTCAGATCCTTGTGCTTGCGAGGCAGGCAGCAGAACCACTGAGCTAAATTCCCAGCCCTCTTGTTTTTTGTTTTTGTTTTTGGTACCGTGGATTGAACTCGGGTCCTGTGCTTGCAAGGCAGGCAGCAGAACCACTGAGCAAAATCCCCGAACCTCTTACTTGTTTTTTAATAGCTGTCTCTTGAGCAGAAGTTTTAAATTTTAATAAAATGTAACTTTAAAATTTTCCTTTATAACTCTTGGTTTTTGTGACCTTAGAAGTAGTTAGGTATTTCTTGCATGTTAAGTGAGGATGTAAGGACCTCCACTGTTTCCTTGCAGAGGAGTTCAAATTAATTTTCTTACCTTACGATTCCTTAAATTGTTTTGGAAAGTTTATAAACTTCTCCTCAGGACTATCTCCAACTCCCACACACGTGCTGGGATTTAACCTAGGGCTTTTTCACTGAGCTGCCTCCCCAACCCCTTTTACTTTTTGAAAAAGTTTTTTTTTTTCATTGAATTTATTGGTACATTTTAGGTGTACAGTACAGTTATATTCATCATTGGTATCTTGTACCTTTACATGACAGGTCTTTGTTCCCTTACACATGTGTAAATACTGAATAGTTTCTCTGGTGTGAAAAACTATAATTGTACATAATATCCTAATGGTATAATTGACAATGTAAAATAGGAAGAAAGGGGCTAAAGGTGCAGGGGAAGTGGGAAGAGTAGGAGAAAGGAAATAAGGGAAAAGAAAAAAATATGAGAAAATGAAAAAATGGAAATAAAGTATCTTTAGTCTGCAATTCTTAACAAGATTTTTTTGTTTGTTTGTTTGTTTGTTTTTGAGACAGGGTCTCACTATGTGGTTGAGACTGACCTGGAACTCACTATGCAACCCAGGCTGGTCTCGAACTCACAGTGGTCCTCCTTCCTCAGCCTCCCTAGTGCTGGGATTACAGGCGTGCACCACCACATTCGACCGACAGAAGATATTTCTTGCAGTAATTTTTCAATTGTAGAATAGTAGAGATACTTGTAAATTTTACCCACTAATAAGGAGTCACCAACACTATTATTTTTTGTAACATTTACTTTCATTCTTTGTGATGATTTTTATTTTGGCTATACACTTTGCCTAGAACCATTTGCCAATTTCTTTTTTTTCCTCATTGAGTTTATTGGTACATTTTAGGTATACAGTAGAGTTACATTCATTATTGGGATCTTGTACCTTTACATGACAGGTCTTGGTTCTCATTTTTTCCCCTTGCCAATTTCTTTTAATTGGATGCATGAAAAAGTTTTCTTGGATCTTTTCTAGCATGTATTATGTTTCTGAAGAAGGTCATCAACTCATAGCTTTAATTTTTAGATGTAGGTTTTGTTGTTGATTTAAAAAAATAGGTGAAATGTTAAATTAAAAATTTTTTGTATTTATTAAACATATTTAAAATTATGTTCATTTGATAGACGACTGCCCATATAACGTTAACCCTAACTCGTGATGAGATTGACATTTTGTAATACGCAGAACCTTGAGAGAACTATTAATTTTCTATAATAACAGTAATCATTACATATATGATTTGTTATACACCTTTTTTTTAGGTGGAAGGATGTAGCAGAACAAAACTTTTTAAGAACAACTGACAAAATCATTATATATTATATATATACCTACACACATTGATCTTATTAATTCGCTTATTACCATGAGGAACATTTTTAAGGCATTTATAAACCTTTAATCCTTATGGTTTAATTAAAGTGACTGTTTTACTTGATAGGTGCTGAAGATGAAACAAGAATAGATATGCAGTTCCCTGCTCAATACAAAGGCCAAGAGTTGTATTCACAGCAAGATGATGAGCAGTCACAGGGATGGGTGTCCTGGGCGTGGTCACTTGTGCCTGCGATTGTGAGTTATGATGATGGTGAGGAAGACTACCTTGGAAATGATCCTGCATCAACCATGCTTCAGCAGAAAGCACCAAGTTTGAAGGATCCTATTGTTTCTGTAGGATTTTACTGTACCAAGGCAACTGTGACTTTTAAAGTAGGTTTCTTTCTCTTGCTGTTAATATTTGCCAACTTTAATACTTAAATTCTGATTATATAATTCTAGTTTAGCTAAAAGGTGGTTTTGTGTTCAGCAAGTATAAGAATGTAATAATTCTTCATAAAATTTTATGGTGTCTAGATGAGTTCTTTGAATTTTGACTCCTGATTTCTCTTAGGCCATCTCCACTTTTCTTTTTTATCAGCTTTATGGGTGGTGTTTTTCTTTCTACCACATTACTGGCATTTAAATATGCTTTAATATTTTTATTAAAAATGTACCTTAAAAAATATCTTCCTTCACGTATTCCTGTAGCTTACTGTTTTATTTTCGTGATCTCTTTCATAACAGTACTAAATTCCACACATTAATTGTACATAGTAATGGAGTTTAGTGTGATATTTCCATGCATGGATACAGTGTATACTGAAGAAATTCAACCAGCCTTCTTTCCACCTGCACCCCTATGTCTAATAATCACTTTTCTCTCAGGTTGATTGAGTTTCCACATATGAGAGAGAACACGTAGTATTTGCCTTCTGTGGTTGGCTTTTTTCACTTAATATAATCTCCTGTAGTTCTATCCATTTTGCTGCAAATTACAAGTTTTCATTTTTTATGGCCGAGTAATACTCCATTGTGTATATATACCACATTTACTATATTTATTCATCTGTTAATGGACACAGGCTTATCCACCTGAGCTCTTGTGAATAGGACAGCAATAAACATGGGCATACAGGTATTTCTTTAGTATACAGATTAATTCTTTTGGATATATACCAGAAGTGGCTTAGCTGGTATTGTAGATATCTTCTTAGTTCTATTTTTCATAATGGCCATTCTGATTTACATTCCTACCAACAGTATATACGAACCTTTTTTTCCACATCTTCGCTAGCATCCCATAATGAAGTTTCTTTGAAGGGTTGCTTATAGACAGTTTCACTTCTCATCTTTCATTCTTTAAGACAGTCCAGTTTCTTATTTAGATCTTCTTCTAACTATTTTCAGCTTCAGTTTCTTCTGTAGATACTCTTCTAACTCTTATTTTTAACATTTTGATTGCTTCCAACATGAAAAATGCATGTAAAATATATATTCAAAATCTGGTATGTAATGTGTATTTGTTAAAAAATAGTAAGGTGAACCCCTTTTACTTCAAGTTTTATAAGGTTACTAGTACTTTTGGCATTCCTTACATGTTCTTTGATGATGCTTTGCCTTCTATTCTGCTCAGATACAACCTGACATGAATTTTGGGTTCTTTGCTCTGGCTTTTTATAGTGCTATTATCATACATGCACAGTATCTCTGAATACTTTTTTAATTCATGCAACAAATATTTATGAATGCTAACTGTGTTACAGGTACTCTTTTGTCTTTAGAGATGTAGCAGTGAACAGATATAAATCCCTGCCTCCCTCTAAATTGTCATTATAAACAAATAGATACCATTGATGGTAAGAGTTATATAGGAAAAAAACAGGGAAGAGGAATAATAGTGTTTTACTAAAGGGTAGAGATTGTGCACCTTTTAAAATGGGATGATCAGTGAATTTCTTAGGGTGAAGGAGATATATTACTGTGAGGGTATATGCAAAATCTTGTGAAAGAGGAAGCCTTGTAGATTACTGTAGGAATGAACATTTCAGGAATAGAAAATATGAGCACCCAAAAGTTCAAGGAATAGCAAAGTCAGCTGGGCTGGAGCAAAATGGGCTAATGTAAAAGTGACATGATATCAGATCAGAGAGGTAATTGGGGTTTATAACAGTGTTAGAGATTATAAAACTAAGTCATTTTTGGGACTACTTTCTTTTTTCATTCCCTCTCTTTCTCCTTTCTTCTTCCTCTTCTTACTTCTCCTCTCCCTTCTTTTCCTTTTCCCTTTCTTTCTCCTCCTATTTCCCTCCTTTTCCCCTTCCCTCTTCGTTTCCCTCTTTTTCTCCCTCTCCCTTTGGTCCTCCCCTCTCCTTCCATTTCTTTCCTCCATTCATTCTTTGTCCTGAGGATCAACCTAGAGTCTTCACACTGAGCTTCATTTCCAGCTCTTTACATTTTTCTTTTTTTATTTTGAGTCTAGGATGGAGGCAAGTCTAGATAATGAAAAGTGATTAGTGTTTGAATGTGTTCTGAAGGTCAACTATGTAAGATTTCCCAATAGATTTTATTGTAAGTCATGAATGAAATAAAGCGAATCCATAATTGGCTCTTGAGCAGTTGTAGAGGTTGAGTGGTGAGTTTTTGAAGTGAGGACTGAAACAACTAGGTTTGAGATGAAGATCAGGAGTTTGGTATTGAACAAGTTTAAGATGCTTATTATACATTATTCATCAGGCCATGGGTGTATGAATCTGGAGTTCAGATTAGAAATTTGGTCTAAGTGTAGAAATTTGATAGTTATCACTATCTGGAATTGATGTATACAGGAAAAAGGAGAGGTTCTAAGATGCAGCTCTGGGTTATGGTGGTGTTAAAAAGTTACAAAGAGGAAGAAAAAGAAAATGGAGAATAAGTGATTAGTAGTATGTTCAGAAAATCAAAAGAGCGTTTGTTTGGAAGCCAAGTGTCATAAATGTTTTAAAAAGGAAGAAGAATGTCATTTTTGAGAATGAGTCTTAGGTTTTAGCAATATGGATATTGATAATCTTGACCAGAACAGTGATAGGAAGCTAGTAGAATCTTAGTTGGAGTAGCAAATGGAAGGACTGGTACTGATGTGAAACAGTGCACGCACTATGGAATGGTAGTTTCTCAAAAAGTGAAACAGAATTACCATGTAATGTAGCAACCTTGTCTTGGGTATATATCCAAAAGAAAACTGATAATCCAGGGTGGGGATTTAGCTCAGTGGCACTGTCAGCCTTATAAGCACAAGGTCATGAGTTCAAACCCCTGTACCACAAAGCACCCAAAAAACTGATACTCCATTGCAATGGTCCAAACCTGAAACAGTTAAAATGTTTACCATTGGAGGAGTGAATGAATAATTTGTGATATGGTGGAATATTATTCAGTCCTAAAAAGAATGATGTTCTAATATATGCTAAATGCTTGAAAAATTTTGCAAAGTAAAGTAAGGAACAAAGGACAAATATTGTATGATTCTGCTTATATCCAGTATTTAGAATAGGGTAATTTATAGTGACAGAGGGTAGAATAGAGGTTACCAAAGGCTTGGTGATTGGGGAGTGGGGTGTTAGTGCCTAACGGCTATTGAGTTTCTGCTTGGGATGATGTGAAAGTTCTGGAAATAGATTGTGGGGAAAGTTATACAACATGTTTTACTTACACCTTGAAAATAGTTAAAGTGGTAAATTTTGTACATTTTACCATGTCAATATATATGGAAGTAGAGGAATTGATGATATAGAAAACTCTTTAAAGATGTTCTATTTTAAAGGGGAACGTAGAAATGGGGAGACCAATCATCTATCGTGGAAATGGAAACTAAAGCTTTTTTTTTTCTTTTTTCAAGGTTGGAGTTAGCAAGACATTCCTTTTTGGTGATGTAGGCATCACCAAACTGATGATGATGTAAACTGATGATGTAGGCATAATGGGGAGAATTGCTGGAGTAAAGAATCTGATGATGGTCTCTGATGGGGAAACAGATTGTTGATTAGTGACAGCAGGAGAGAAAATACTGTGATCTGGCATCTATTTATGTGGTTATGTAGATAAAATATTGAGGCTTTTGGAAATTTTCTTCAGATTGCTTTTATTTTTGAGGAGTTCTCAGAGTAAGAATGGGGAAGCAAAGTGAAGATTTGGGGGAAAGAAGGTGTAAAACTGTCATCTCAGGGAGAATGAAGAGCAAATTGTGTGAGTATATGGTATGTTTGCTAGGGACACTGAGACCTAAAAGACAGAAATGATCATGAATTTGCAGCAGCAGCCATTGTGATTGTGTTTTTCTATGGTCATATTCTACTATAGTACTTGAGTAGAGATGAATGGTGAAGGTAGAATAGAGAATGAGATCATTGCAGAGCAGGAGGAAAAGATACTGAGAGTTTAGGAATGACCATCTCTGTGGATATTGAAATTACCAAGAATAATGACAGTGGCAATGGAGAGACGGAATCTAAGACCAAAATTTTACTAGTGAGCAGAATTACCTGGAGGTGAATTTAGGTAGCAACAAGGAGGGATGGTGCGTCACAGTATCTGTTCTGTTTTTTTTTACCGGTTTTTGGAAAAATACCTATATATATATTATATTGTACAACATATGTAGACTGAGTGAATATAGTTGTTTCTTTAGAAACTTTTCTTGGATTTTTCTTACTTAGCAGATGTTTTTGCACAATCTGGTTACTCCACTTCTTTAGTCTAACCTTTAAATGTTGGCTCTCTAATTTGATGAGATGTGTAGGTGCCATGGTCTCATTCTAGTGCTGTGGTGAATACTGATAGTCCTTGATGTGAACTGTTTAAAGATGTATGTGATGTAGATTCATTTAATTATACTAATTCACTACTTGTGAAATGTAAAGGAATTTGGCCACTCCATATGAAACTTTTGAATATTTTTGGCAGAATGGGAAATATAATGATGCTGGCTGGTTGCTATTAGTATCTCTGGATAAACTAGTGAAGAAAAACAGTGAGCTCAAACATCCATAGGTAATCTTCTGTGAGGAAAAACTAACAAAGGAAAAGAAGGAGCTCAAAGATTCAGATTCCTAGCTTCAGACACACCTAAAATAGTTAAAAGTTTCTAAGTGTGTCTTAAAAGAGAATTTCCTCTCCTTTAGTTGTGGGGCTGAGACTGCAGAAACCCAAACACAGACCCTCATAATTGTATTGGCTGAAACACAGAGTAAGTTTATTGCTCAGTCTCAGAAAGTATCTGAAGTAAAAAAAGTGAGGGCTCTGATTGGAAAAGAATGGGATCCCATAAACTGGGATGGATGGGCCGGGGATTTAGCTCAGTGGTGGTGCTGCCTGCCTCACAAGCTCAAGGTCCCGAGTTTGATCCCCAGTGCCAAAACAAACAAACAAATGAAAAACCATAAACTGGGATGGAGATGTTTGGGAGGCTGACGAGGCTGAGGATGCTGAGATATTAGACTATAATGAGATCAACATCTTTTCTATCTACATGTTCCAAAGATATAATTGAACTATTACATTGATGCTGATAGAATGCCAAATTATAGTTGGGTGTGGTGGCATATGCCAGGAGGCTGAGGCAGGAAGATCTTGCCATGAGTACCAGGCCAGCCTACATAGTAAGACTCTGTCTCAAAAAAACAAAAAACAAAAAACAAAAAAACAAATGAATTAGTTTGTGCCTCTGCTTATTATTGTGCTTGGACTTTAGAATTCAGCTGCTTCTTTTGTGTCATCACTTGCATAACTAGTAGTTATTTACCACATGTGAAACCAGTTTTTTTCCTTCAGTCCTGCTTTTCCCCGTTTTTTACATTTTTAGCCATTCAATTGCCTTCTACGTACCTTTTTCTCTCCTACTATCACATCCAGTGAGTCATCATATTGTGCAAGCCACCGTCATTTCTCATAAGCTTTAATGAGCTATACCAATAGATTAGGAGTTCTTAAACTTCTGGCTTCAGGATTTCAGGATACTTTATTTTTAATAAATTTTGTAAGAAAAGACAAGGCTTACTAGTTAAGTACCATCTTTTCTGGTGATGTTTGCATATTTACTTTCAAATTCAAAGTTATTTTGGTATACTTACTGTTATACTGCTAAGAAGAATTGCATTCAACCAAATCAGAATAGGCATTTATATATAAAACTTTTATGGATTTTTGGCAGTATTTGTTATTAATCACTATGTCTTTTAAAATTTTCAAAGCATTTATGTTTCTTGAAGCTTTCTCTGTGGGAACTATATTGATGTTTAGGGGGAAAACATTAGAATTCATTGTTCAGCTTGGATAATGTATGGAATTAATTTGTGGTTCGTATTTTGCTCAGAAAATAAGGTCATATTTCTACATTAGCATTTTGAACAGTGGATATCAGTCCAACAAAAATCATGCCAAATTAACATCGCATTTTCCTAATAATGTTTAAAATTGTTCTTGTAAAGTTTGAGTCCTTTTAATCAATTAATTGCTTTTTCTCAACAGTAATTGTAGACAGCTGATGGGTGATCAAGTTTAAAAAATTCAATTTTATTAAGCACTTTAGCTTATAGAATTATATTTTAAAACAGCAGCACTGAGTTTTCCATCACTAAAAATATCTTACAAATAGGGCCTTATATTATGTGAAAAATGTAATACATAAAAATCAAAATAATTAGTTATCAATATAAATACATAGTACTTATGCTTAAAAATTTTATTTTTCTCCACAGTAACTTTTATTTGGTTTAATTTAATTTTTTAAAAATATGTTATCTTTGACTTTGTTATCTTTGAATTGTAAAATATTGTATATCCGTATAAGGGTAACTGAAACATTGGTCAACCCAAGAAGAATACAGTAGTTCTTTTTTTATATTTAAAAGTTTTTTATTTTAGGATGATCTTAAAATTAAAGAAAAGTTACCAAGAATAAAGAGAGTTTTTACTTTTTACCCGTTTTCTACTTTTTGCTGTCTTGTGCTATCAAAGTACATTTGTCAGAACTAAGAAGCCTAGTTTGATGCTTTGCTCTTAAATTCCATCAGTTAATTGACCAAAATACTGATAGTTATTTTTATGTGCCATGATCCAAATTTGAAGTACCATATTATATTTAGAGAAGTACATTTAAACAATAAATTTTCTAATTTTTTGCACATACAAAAAAATGCATTGTAAGCTTCTGGGGAAAGTTAAGTTTCTTTTGTCAGCATTTAGATTGGCATTTGTTATCTACCTGATACTCAATAAGTAGTTGTTTCTAGGAGATGTAGTATGAGACATACTTTGATAAAGAACACTTATGATTATACCTCCCTCATAGCAACTACAAGGTTCCATTGCATCCGAGTTTCTTCACACCTTTATCTTAGAAAAGTGAGGAATCTTGGAAATGATTGAAACTGAATGTGGCTGAATATACTGGTGAAAATGAAATGAACTGAGGTTATGATATATGTACATTTTTGGTAGAATATATGAACTGTTTTGAGTCAGACTGTTTCTGCACACAGTTTTAGTTTTTAAAGCAATATTAAGGAATTTTAAAAAGTGGAATTTAAATAAGTTCAAAGTGTCATATTCAACCTTTATTCATGGATAATCTGTTACAGCTGTTTTTGTTGCACCTGTTTTCCTGCTTAATAATTAAATTTCCTGAATCTTAAAATGAAGCTTATTTTCATCAGTTCATCATAATACCAACAGTTTATTGACAGTTAATGCTAGTTTTGATTTACTTGATATTCTTACTTTTCTTAGCTCACTGAAATGCAAGCTGAGAATAGTTATTATAGTCCTCAGAAAGTAAAGTCTAAAGAAGTGTTATGCTGGGAACAAGAAGGAACTACAATTGAGGTAATCTTTCAGCACTAAACATATTTTTAAAAATCTTTATATGTTCTTAGAGTTAATATTTACAGTTAATAAGGCTTTTATCATAGTATATTTAAAATGTGTAGTTGTAGTTTTGTTTCTATTTTAGCAGTGAGTAGTATTGGTTGAAGTAATTATTCTTTAATATTTTACCGTGATATGCCAGATGAATTTTTCATATTTTCATTAAACTTGTCCATATGTGGGGGGTATATATCTGTGTTCATGTTCATGAAGTGCCAGTCATTTGAGAATACGGATGTTTGAGGGTAGAGACAAAAAAGGATATTCTTTAACAGTTTATGATGTAAGAAAAATAAATTTGGAAAGGCCATAATCCTAAAGATGTTTGACTGAGTTAGGAATTGTACAAGGATAGCCTGACATAAATTCAAATTCTCAGATTTAATGTTTCCTTTCCTCTCATAGGCCCTTATGATGGGAGAACCTTTCTTTGACTGCCAGCTTGGGTTTGTAGGTTGTCGAGCCCTGTGTCTTAAAGGAATTATGGGTGTTAAAGATTTTGAAGAGAATATGAATAGAAGTGAAGCTGTAAGTCAAAATTTCCCTCTCTCCCCTTTCTTGGATAGGATGCAGGGATAATGAAGTGCTTAACCTTATAAAATTTACAAGACTACATATGTCTCTGGCTTGAGAGAGGAGCTTTATAGTTTTCCTCTGCGTTCTCCCCCAAAGTTATAGAACTCAGGGGAATTTAAAAAGTTGGTAGCACTTAACACCTGGACAGTAGCTCAAAATATGTTCCAATTTCTTCTTTCTTATTTATGATAGCTACTTGGAGTTCCCTTTTGGTCTGTTAAAATGTTCTCTCCCAAAGTAGGTAGTGAAAATGGAGACAGCATTCCTTATCTTTTTTTTTTCTTTTAAATTGAATTTATTGGTACATTCTAGGTAGACAGTACAGTTATATTCATTACTGGGATCTTGTACCATTACATGCCAGGTCTTGGTTCTCATTTATTTCCCTTGTCCCCACCCTCCCTTCACCCCCTCCTCCCCTCCTCACCTTCAAACACTTTAATTCCATTTTTACATTTTCTCATATTCTTTTCCTTTTCCCTTGTTCCCCTTTCCCTATCCTTCTCACTGTCCCTACACCTTTGGCCCTTTTCTTCCTATTATTCCTTATCTTTTCATAGCACCTCAAGTTTTAATAATTTCTATTAACTACTGAATGGATGTTATAAGACCAAAGTTTTATTTTATTTTTTTAGTCTAATGCTTTTTCCTCTTGTTCAGTAATTTTAATTTGTTTTCAGGAAGCCAGTTTTTTCATTTGTGGTGAGAATTTAAGTACCAAAGGTTTGACTTACCTTACAAATTCACTGTTTGATTATCGAAGTCCAGAAAATAATGGTACTCGTGCAGAATTTATCTTGGACTCAGCTCATCATAAGGTCAGAGACTCTGTTTTTGAGAAAAATTCTATGCTGTGATTGGTTGGACACATTGTGTGAATATTGGTGATTGCCATCTTCTTAAATAATATTTTCTGAATGATATTTATTTATTTATTTATTGAAACATTTAGAATGTTTTTGCCCAGCTTTTACACCTAGAAAGGCATAGGAATGCATGGAGGCATTTACTCTTATGGAGTATATGACCATAGTTTGTTTATTCATATCCTACTCTTAAGATATTCATGGAAGAAACTTGTAGAATTATGTTTATTAATTTCCATTACCTGTAGAATGTGGTACTGATAAGAAATGCATTTCAGTTTTCACTGTATATATGTTTTATTATTGTTTCAATTTTCTATGTAAGAATATATTAATATATTTATGGAATATTATTAAATTTACAAAATAAAGTGAAAAAGTTACATAAATATAATAGAATAATTTATATTTTAACTTTTTCTTTAAGGCTTACTCTTACAATTAAAAATTTAATATTTACCTGTGCAATTAACATGCATTTAGAATGTTTTAATGTATCTTTAGTTTTTGAATTGTTTCATATGAGTGTATTGAGGTGTACTTGGTGAGTAGCTCTGAGAGTGTACATTTTAGTCAGTTTTGTGATAGTGATAAAGGTTGAGTATATTATCTGCTACATTACAGGCATTCATTAACTAGACATTATTGATAAAGTTGGTCAAATGTCTAGTAGAATTATCAGTGTCCTTTTATGTGGTTAGCAGAGGTAATACTACCTTTCTTAGAAGTAATTCTTTGGATAACCTCTGTTGTTTTGTTTTTGGTAACCCTTTGAGTTAATACAGTCTGTGTAAGGATGAGTATCTGACCTGTGAGGTTTTAAAACTCATTTTCTTTATGTAATGTGTTTGCATTGCTTTGTTGGCAGGAGACATATACTGAGATAGCTGGAATGCAAAGGTTTGGGGCTTTTTACATGGACTACCTCTATACAACGGAGAACACTAGTGGCAAAGGTATCAGTTTCATTCTGTTTTGATTGTCTTTCATGAACAACAGAAAATTTAAAAAAAGGTTGGGAAATGTAGCTTAGTGGTAGAGCCCTTGCATAGCAAGTGCAAGGCCTGGGTTCAGGAGAAATAGCAAGGAAAAATAAAGAATAAAAATTTCTTTTTCTTTATTAAATACTTTCTGAAGTTTGTATATTTTTCTTTTTATTAAAAATTGTTTAAAGCAGAAAAGTGGAAATAAAAATTTTCAGAGATTATACACTTATAGGTTTTATTATTGTTCACTTTAGTTACTGTTATTTTTGTTTTATTATATTAAGAAATAATATTTTCTAAAATTTCACTCTTATGTGCACATCGATATGTTGTATGCTTATTATTTCAGTCTTTTATTGCATTGAAAAGTTAAATAGATTCTTTTTGTTTATAATTTTTCACGTTAAAGATTTCCATGTGTAAGTGATTTTTGTCTTGGTCTGTCAGCTCAATCAAGTGTTAGCATGTGATAGATGATATGTTAGGTACTCTGAATGCATTTCTCAAGAAGCCTGTAAGTACTGCCAAGTAGGCATTTAGAACAGTAGTATAAATAGAATGAAGAGATGTTCAGGTGAGAAATTTAACAGCTTTTATTTGAAGGGTGGCAGACTTCACAGAGGAGTTGATTTTGAAGAAAGGCATTTTTAGAATTTTTTTCATGAAGAAAATAGGAAAGAAATAATTTTCTGCCTTCTCCTACTTGTAATATTTTGTAAAAGCTGATTTTGGGGGGGTACCGGGGATTGAATTTGGGTCCTTGCACTTGCAAGGCATGCCACTGAACCGCTGAGCTAAATCCCCGGCCCTAAAAGCTGATTTCATTGTTCAGTCATTGGATTTCTTTCCCTAGAAACTCTCTCAAAGTAATTTCATTTTCTGTGGATTTAAGTAACTTCCAATGTCACTACTACCCCATTTGTATTTTTAGGCTAAACTTCTTAAAGTTTCAGAATTAAATAACCAGTGTATACTTGACATTTTTACTTCTATAACATACATGCATACCCACACATACATAAACTGAATATATCCAAAGTTACATTATTAATATCCCCATGATCATCTACTACCTCTTCTGTGTTCAGCCACCTCTTCTTGGAAAATTATGCTGTCATCTTGTTGCTTAAGCTTGTAACCCAAATATCATCATGACAAACTTTCTTTCCTAATATCCAAATCTGCTATCACATTTTGTCAAAGTTTGTCTCTAAAATCCGTTCACTTCTTGTAATCTCCACTCTTAACACTCTTATCTAGTATACTACTCATCTATAGATTCTGGTAGCGCTCTCTCTCTCTCTCTCTCTTTTGAGTACTGGGGATCGAACTTGGGCCTTTGCACTTTCAGGGCAGGCGCTGGAACCACTGAACTAAATCCCCGGCCCTAGTAGCCCTCTTTAATAGTCTTGTTGACTTTACTTTTCAACCTTTTTATGGTATGACACTCAATTTGATTTAATCTCCTGCTTAAGATCCTCAGAAGTTTCCAATGTTTTATTTAAAAATAAAATTTATAGTTTACCAGATTAAATATTGATAATCATTAAGAAAGCTAGAGATAAGAAAGGAAAACTTCTGAGGTAATTAGATGCATTAAAATACACCTCAGAGGTCTGTGCTCTAAGCACTTCACAAGCTAGTAGGTATTGTAGTTACCAGCTGTAAGCCAGTAGGATTTTTCTTGTTCAGTTTAATGTCTTATATATGAAGTAGTAATCTTTCAAGTAAAAGAAGCTAGCCCTGAAATTTTATCAACATTTTGTTATCATCCCTGTGATTTGTATATGTGCTTCTGCATTTTCTAGAAGATAGAAATATGATCTACTAGAAAATAAAAGTTAAAACTGAAGACAAGGACTCTCTGTAGGCAAGATCTTTCTGAGCGGAACCCCAGATATGCAAGAAGTAGCATCAAGAATTAACAAATGAGATCATATGAAATTAAATAGTTTCTGTACAGCAAAGGAAACGGAGCAGAGTGAAGAGATAACCTACAGAATAGGAAAATAATTTTGGCAGTAGTCTTATATCTAGAATGTATAAGGAATGCTAAAAATAGTAGGCCACCCAAGATAAAAGACCTGATCCAAACTTGGCAACTGAAGTGAATAAAGCACTTCTCAGAAGAACTTCAAATGTTCAATAAATACATGAAAAAATGTTCAGAATCTTTGGCCATTAGAGAAAAACAAATTAAAATCCAAATTAAGATTGCACTGAGATTTCATTTTACTCCAGAAAGAATGGCTTTCATCAAGAAGTCAAACAATGACAAGTGCTGATGAGACTGGATGTGGAGAGGGGAGAAATCCTTCCACATTAAGGGTGTGAATGTAAACTAGTACAACCATTATGAAAATTAATATGAAATTCCTCAAAACACTAAAGTAAGAAATTCCATTTGACACAGCTATTCCCCTTCTAGATATCTTCCTGAAAGAGTTAAAGACATCATATTATATTGATAGATGCATCCCTGTGCTTATAGTAGCACCATTCAAAATATTTATATCTTGGGAGCTACCTATATGTCCATCAGCAGATGAATGGATACAGAAATATATTTATACACAAGAAAGTACTGCTTGGCCAAAAAGAAGAATAAACTTGAAGAAGAATAAACATTTGTAGGAAAATGGATGCACCTTGAGACTACAGTATTAAGTGAAATAAACATACAAGTTAGATATTGCATGATTCCTCATATATGAGAAACCCCAAATACAAATAAAGAGCAAAGTAAAATATTAGATAATGGGAAACAGAGATAGATCTTTTGCAAATGGTAAGGGGGTCAAGAGATGTAGGAAGGAGAGGGGAAAAGGATGAAAAAAAGAATTAAGATGTGTTATATACATGTATCAATTCCCCATGAGGAAGGTAATCATTATGTATCATAAACATGTACTAATAACAATGGAGAGACAAGAAATATAGTTGTTTACAAATTTTTTTTTCTCAAAAGCTGGTAATTTAATTTTTGAAATTTTCATAATTTTTATTTCTGTGAGTAGCCCTCAATATTATATGAATCTTAGTGCTGTTATTTTTAAACAAAATGTAACAAGCACACAAAAGTATACATTTAAATACAGAATAACAAAAAATTATAAAGTGAGTACCTGTGTATTTCCACACAAGTAAGAAATAAGACTGTTAGATCTGTTGAGCCTCTTCTGTGATCTTCCTATCACATTCTTCCTCCTTGACTAGAGGAAATTGTTATTTTGAGATTTGTAGGTATCATTATCTTGCTTTTGGTTTAGTACCGAGGCATCTACTTTCTTAATTTGATAAGCTTTGCTTTTTTGAGAAAATATAAATTTACACTATTAATTTACTAATTGTAAATGTTACATATAATTTTAAAATGTATTCATACACTCAGTGTTTTCATCTATTCCTTTTTTGCCTTTCTATCACATTTTGTCAAAGTTTGTCTCTAAAATCCGTTCACTTCTTGTAATCTCCACTCTTAACACTCTTATCTAGTATACTACTCATCTATAGATTCTGGTAGCGCTCTCTCTCTCTCTCTCTCTTTTGAGTACTGGGGATCGAACTTGGGCCTTTGCACTTTCAGGGCAGGCGCTGGAACCACTGAACTAAATCCCCGGCCCTAGTAGCCCTCTTTAATAGTCTTGTTGACTTTACTTTTCAACCTTTTTATGGTATGACACTCAATTTGATTTAATCTCCTGCTTAAGATCCTCAGAAGTTTCCAATGTTTTATTTAAAAATAAAATTTATAGTTTACCAGATTAAATATTGATAATCATTAAGAAAGCTAGAGATAAGAAAGGAAAACTTCTGAGGTAATTAGATGCATTAAAATACACCTCAGAGGTCTGTGCTCTAAGCACTTCACAAGCTAGTAGGTATTGTAGTTACCAGCTGTAAGCCAGTAGGATTTTTCTTGTTCAGTTTAATGTCTTATATATAATCTTTCAAGTAAAAGAAGCTAGCCCTGAAATTTTATCAACATTTTGTTATCATCCCTGTGATTTGTATATGTGCTTCTGCATTTTCTAGAAGATAGAAATATGATCTACTAGAAAATAAAAGTTAAAACTGAAGACAAGGACTCTCTGTAGGCAAGATCTTTCTGAGCGGAACCCCAGATATGCAAGAAGTAGCATCAAGAATTAACAAATGAGATCATATGAAATTAAATAGTTTCTGTACAGCAAAGGAAACGGAGCAGAGTGAAGAGATAACCTACAGAATAGGAAAATAATTTTGGCAGTAGTCTTATATCTAGAATGTATAAGGAATGCTAAAAATAGTAGGCCACCCAAGATAAAAGACCTGATCCAAACTTGGCAACTGAAGTGAATAAAGCACTTCTCAGAAGAACTTCAAATGTTCAATAAATACATGAAAAAATGTTCAGAATCTTTGGCCATTAGAGAAAAACAAATTAAAATCCAAATTAAGATTGCACTGAGATTTCATTTTACTCCAGAAAGAATGGCTTTCATCAAGAAGTCAAACAATGACAAGTGCTGATGAGACTGGATGTGGAGAGGGGAGAAATCCTTCCACATTAAGGGTGTGAATGTAAACTAGTACAACCATTATGAAAATTAATATGAAATTCCTCAAAACACTAAAGTAAGAAATTCCATTTGACACAGCTATTCCCCTTCTAGATATCTTCCTGAAAGAGTTAAAGACATCATATTATATTGATAGATGCATCCCTGTGCTTATAGTAGCACCATTCAAAATATTTATATCTTGGGAGCTACCTATATGTCCATCAGCAGATGAATGGATACAGAAATATATTTATACACAAGAAAGTACTGCTTGGCCAAAAAGAAGAATAAACTTGAAGAAGAATAAACATTTGTAGGAAAATGGATGCACCTTGAGACTACAGTATTAAGTGAAATAAACATACAAGTTAGATATTGCATGATTCCTCATATATGAGAAACCCCAAATACAAATAAAGAGCAAAGTAAAATATTAGATAATGGGAAACAGAGATAGATCTTTTGCAAATGGTAAGGGGGTCAAGAGATGTAGGAAGGAGAGGGGAAAAGGATGAAAAAAAGAATTAAGATGTGTTATATACATGTATCAATTCCCCATGAGGAAGGTAATCATTATGTATCATAAACATGTACTAATAACAATGGAGAGACAAGAAATATAGTTGTTTACAAATTTTTTTTTCTCAAAAGCTGGTAATTTAATTTTTGAAATTTTCATAATTTTTATTTCTGTGAGTAGCCCTCAATATTATATGAATCTTAGTGCTGTTATTTTTAAACAAAATGTAACAAGCACACAAAAGTATACATTTAAATACAGAATAACAAAAAATTATAAAGTGAGTACCTGTGTATTTCCACACAAGTAAGAAATAAGACTGTTAGATCTGTTGAGCCTCTTCTGTGATCTTCCTATCACATTCTTCCTCCTTGACTAGAGGAAATTGTTATTTTGAGATTTGTAGGTATCATTATCTTGCTTTTGGTTTAGTACCGAGGCATCTACTTTCTTAATTTGATAAGCTTTGCTTTTTTGAGAAAATATAAATTTACACTATTAATTTACTAATTGTAAATGTTACATATAATTTTAAAATGTATTCATACACTCAGTGTTTTCATCTATTCCTTTTTTGCCTTTAGGTAGCTATACTTATATGTTTTAATTGTGAATATATATTCATTTACGTAGTAATGATGATGATAATAGCTAATGTTTATTGGTTTTAGACGCAAGGACCTGTTCTTACTGTTTTATATGTTAGCTTATTTAATTCCCATAATTCTTTAAAATAGATGTGATGATTATTCATACCTGACAACTCATTTGTGTGGGATGTTTTTTTCTGAAAATTGTTAGAAAGTGTAGAAAAAGAGTTGTGTTTATTTAGGTCTTTTTAGATTCTAAAAGTAATTAAATCCTGGAAAACCTCAGTTTCCACTTTTTGTTTGAATGAACAAAATGGCTGAAAAATTTAAAATATTGTATGTTAGCACATATAATAATGGATTTTTAAAAATAACAAATCTCTAATACCACAAGTATACATACCAGGTAATGAGGAATATCTGTAGGTAAAGTGAAGATTTTCTTTAGAAAGTAGTTTTCATTTCTCTTCAACATGAGGGCAGGTGAGAGATCAAGGATGTAGAATTCTACACATAGTAATTTTATTCTGGAAAACGTTCAAAGCGGGTGATATTATTTTCATGGTCATTATAAAACACTCAAAGTACCTTGTGAAAGTATAATTTTAAACAATGTAATGTTCAGTGAAACACCTAAAATAAATTAGTACTAAAATGTAGTTTCCTCTTAAGTTTCCCTACCCAGTCAGCATAATATCATATATAGAATTATTAGATCTTTAGGGTTCTTTGTATGTAACTGATTGAAAATTGATATTAAGATTTTGAGGTATTTACCTACAAGGTAAAAAAGTGAGAGATGAGTAATATTAAATGTATATTTGATATATCTGATTGATGCTTAAACTTCTAATGTAAAATTTCACTTCTTCTAGGCTCTGCAAATCAGCAAGACTTTTCTTCAGGGAAAAATGAAGATTTGGGAACAGTCCAAGAGAATTCTACTAAAAGCCTTGTTGTAGGTCCTCTGGATTTTCGCTTGGACAGCAGTGCAGTGCATAGGATTTTGAAAATGATTGTTTGTGCCTTGGAACATGAATATGAGCCATATACTAGGCTAAAACCAGGTTTGTTTTTGGTTTAATTCTGGATCTATTGTTAGTTGATTTAAATGATTGTGTAATTCAACTTGTCTTGTTTTGGTAACTTTCCTTCTTTATGTTTAGCCTGTCAGTAAGGATTTTTAGGTATTCAGTTAACAATTTAGAGAAGGAACTTTTTTGTTTGTTTTTTGTTTTTTTGAGACAGGGTCTCACTATGTAGTTGAGACTAACCTGGAACTCACTATGTAGCCCAGGCTGGTCTTGAACTCACAGCAATCCTCCTGCCTCAGCCTCCCAAGTGCTGGGATTACAGGTATGCGCCAACACACCCAGCTCGGGAGAAGGAACTTTTGTGTGGAAGTTCTAGGACAGGTCAAGATTTGGAAATTATTTGCCTTAGTACCTTATTTGAAAATTTTCCAGTATTTTATCATCATACTTTTTGGTGCTGTTTCTAGTGTGGATTCATGAAATATGAACACTTTTCCATATTAGTGTATTCTTAGGAGTCAACTACGAAGATAGCCTCTAAACATACAAATTTAACATTCAATAACACTTAGGTAATATTGGTAAAAAGAAATTTACTGTACAACTATTTTTTTGTATGATATAGAGATATGTTATCTCAATTTCATAAAAAGTTATTTTTTAATGCAGCAAAATACTATCGAGTATAGTAGAAGAGCATATCATAGTGAGGAAATATAGGATAGTATTTAAGAACTCAAGTCTCTGGGGTCAGATTATGATTTGATATCTGACTCCCACTCCTTGGAAAATTTGATTAACATTTCTGATCTTCCATTTCTCTATCTCCATACTGAGTCTGATGACAGAGAGAGAGAGCTAATTGACTTCCCAATATCCATTCTGTTATTTTATAAAAATACTATTTTTTGACTTTTATTAGTACGTGTTTGTAGTACATAATGATTGCCTTCACTTCAGGGAACTGGGATATGTATGGTAATACATTTAAGTTCCCTTTCCCCCCCTTTCCCACTCCGTTTTTATTTTTCCTTCATCAGATTCACTTCTTAAGACCTTATAAAGTTAATTATCATATATACAGATTGAAAACCAGACTAATAGGCCAAAAAACGTATAAAATGTAACACAGTTGTGCTAAATCCAGGTATATTTTTAGATATGTTGTCTGCACTGGATTGCAGTACCTTTTTCTTTCCTTTTTTCTATTATGTCTTTTATTTCATTATATAAATATATGTGTATATATGCTCATATATCTATGTTCTGGCTGTTAGGATGGGAACTGAACTTTGTGAAGAGTTCTGGATGATGACTTTAAGCCAAAGAATAAACAACTTTTATATCTCCCTTCCTCTGTCTAGAAAGTATATATAAAGGTAGCATCTGGAGCTTCCATGTTAGACTTTGAGCAAAAGCCACATGCTAATGATAACAGAGCAGTACAGTTTAGTGAAAAGAACTTAGAGCAGTGGTGGTGAACCTATGGCATGTGTGTGCGCGTTTTTTTTAAGAGAGAAAAAATGTTAATATATGAATTACTTTTTTCTACACAAAAAGCTCAGTATTCAGGTTTAATCACAGTGTTGGCATTCTGCAATGAATAAATGGGTTTTGCGTTACAGTTTGGACACTCATCTCTAAGTTTGCCATTACTCTTCTGGGGCCTCACCATTACTCACCTGTCGTAGCACCATGTCAGGTTTGGAACTACTGAGATTATTCTGTGAAAGGAAAGAAACTTCTGCTTTTGTTGATGTTTCTATTTCACTTTTTCACAGTAACTTTATTGTTATCCTAAGGGATACACCAGTAGAACTTTCTTCCCAAGAATATTATGAACACTAAAGAAATCTCAGGGCATGTAAAAGCACTTAACACAGTGCCTAGTGCATAGTAAGTGCTTGAAATGTTCAGGCGTTCATTTGCTACACCTTAGGTGAATGTGTACATTATGTCTGATCCTCTTCTTCATACTAACATAGTACAGCAAAGAAGATCTACAAAGCTGATGTCCTTATGTCTTAGTAGGGTAGACAAGTGGTAAACAAGTAAAGACATTTTAGACATTGGTAAGTGCTGTGAGAAAAAATTGAAAGAATATATAGAGAAAAGTGCTAGAGGGTGGGGAGGAAAGCTTCTTTTATGTAGAGAGGTTTGGAAAGTCCTATCTGGAGAGTTTATATATGAGCAGTTACTGTGAACAGAGTTTTCTGTAGATTGATACAGGCTGGCCAATATAGCTGGAATATAGTAAATGTTGGTAAGTTAAGAGATGTAGACATAAATCACTGTCAGGCTTTAGGGACTAAGAACATTTTATTGTATTCTAAATGTGATGGGGAATCGTTGGAAGATTTTGAGTGGGAAAATTAACTTCTTTTATTTGTTTATTTTTTAATGGTACTGAGAATGGAACCTAAGGCCTTCATACTGTGCTTCATCCTTAGCCTTTTATCTTTCTTTCTTTCTTTCTTTCTTTCTTTCTTTCTTTCTTTCTTTCTTTATTTATTTTTGGTACTAGGAATTGAACTCAGGACTTGTGCTTGGGAGGTGGGCAGCTGAACCACTGAAGTAACCCCGCCTCCATCCTTAGCCCTTTATATTTTTTATTTTTAGTCAGTGTCTCAGTTAGTGACGAAGTTCCCCAGGCTAAACTTGAACTTGTGATTCTTCTACCTGAGTCTCCCAGAGTTCTGGAATTACAGGCGTGTGCCACCATGCTCAGTTTTACTTTCCTATTTTAATAGTAATCACTATAGTTGATATACAGTAATTGTTTTAAAGTTATTTCCTTTTTCTTTTTTTTTCCTCATGGAGTTTATTGGTACATTTTAGGTATACAGTCCTTATTATTCATTCATTATTGGGATCTTGTACCTTTATATGACAGGTCTTGGTTCTCATTTTTTCCCCTTGTCCATGCCCTCACTTCAACCCCTCCTCCCCTCCCCATTTACAAACACTTCCATTTCCATTTTTTCATTTTCTCATATTTTTTTCTTTTCCCTTATTACCTTTCCCCTACCCTTCCCACTTTCCCTACACCTTTAGCCCTTTTATTCCTATTTCACTTTGTCATTTATCTCATTTGGATCTTATGTACTATTATAGTTTATTCACACCAGAGAAACTATTCGGTATTTACACTTGTGTGACTTATTTCACTTAGGAGTATATCCTCAATGTGTATCCATTTTCCTATGAATGAATCTAATTTCTCATTTTAAAGTCATTTTCTTGTATAACTTGTTGCAGTATTTGTGTGTATATATTATGTTTTGTACAATTTTATTATTTGTTAGGTTTGTGTGTCTATTACTGCAGTCAAAACAAACAATCCCATCTTAAAGATCCCTCATTTATGTCTTATAACGTAACACATTTCCCTCTGTCCACCTTTCTTCCTTATCTGTAGCCCTGGAAACATTGATGTCTTTCATTTCTAGAATTTTCTCATTTCACAAATGTTATATAGATGGAATTATTCAGTATGTAAGGTTTTGGGATTGACTTATTTTGCTAAACAATTGTCTGGAGATTTATTTATGTTGCTGCATGTCTTAAAAGTTTCTTTTTATTGCTGAGTAGTGTTTCATATGCATGTACTACAGCTTGTAAAAGCATATGTTGAAGGACGTTTGGAATGGGTCTGGCTATTACAAATAAAGCTGCTGGGTCAGGGATTTATCTTAGTGGTTCTGCCACCTGTCTCGCAAGCGCAAGGACCCAAGTTTGATCCCTGGAACCAAAAAACAAAACAAAACAAATCTGCTTCATACAGATGTTTACCATTTTTCTATAAATATAATATTTTATTTGTTTGGGATAAATATCCAAGTGTGCAATTGCTAGGTCATATTGTGCTATGTGTTTAATTTTTAAAAAGAAATAGCCAAACTTCAGGAGTAGCAGTACCATTTTACATTTCTACCAGCAATGAATGAGTGACCCAGTTTCTATTCATCCTCTTAGCATTTGGTGATGTCACTTGAAAAATTTTTGGCTATTCTGATAGATTTGTAGTTTTAATTAGCAATCTTTGATCTCTGTAACTTCAAGTAGCATTTCCTTACTGGCTAATGTGAAACACTTCTTCATGTGCTAATTTGCTATTAAATTTTTTTTTCCATTTTCATTTGTCCTCAGTGAACTATATGTTCATATCTTTTGACCATTTCCCTAGTTGGATTTTTTTTTTCTAGAACTTTTGCCATTTTTGTATTTTATATGTAAATCTGTTAATCTGCTTTGAGTAAACTTGCTTTTCCATAAGGAGTGCTATATAGGTAGAGATTTATTTATATGTTTGGATTGATTTCCAGGTGTTGCTTCAAGTACCAGGAGTTGTTGCTATGCTTTCTTTATTGAATGTTAGGCACCTTTGTCAAAAATTAATTTAGGACATAAGTATTTGTGTTCTGTGTCTGTCTTGTGATGTGTGTAAAATGCATATGCATGTAGCATGCACTGATCAACTTAGGGTAAATTAGCATTTCCCTCTCTTTATCATTGTGTTTAGAGGCTTCAAGTTCCTTCTAAATCTTCATTAATTATATACTAGGTCATTGTGAAGAACAGGTGTCCTGTGCTCTGTAGAGAATAACTTTGCTGATCTTTTTTCTACACATAATTGGCAATAAATAGTATTTTTGGGATTTTTTAAAGCCCATTTTAATGAGTGTGAAGTTCTATCACATTGTGACTGTATTTGTAATCATCTGATGCCTAATGATGTTAACTAGTTTTTGATACAGCTTTTGGGCATTCGGATATATGATCTTTTGCTTATCAGTCATGTTTTTTGCCCATTTATTAATTATTTTTCTATTTTTCAAAGATTAAGTTTTTATTTTTAGAAACATGCTATGGGTACAAGTCTCTTGTGCACATCTCTGTCTCTTACTATCTCTATTTGTATATCTGTCTATGGCAGATAATTTTACTACATTATGCGTTTTGCCTTTATGTAACCTGAATTGTAGATTGATTACCAGGAAGGTATTATTCTTTTTAAAGAAGCAAGTTGGGAACTTATTAAAAGATATTTTAAAGTAAAAAACTAGCTATTTTTTTTTGTAGCAAAGACTTAAACATTTACATTGTAGAATAATTTATTCTAGAGTAACTTATTATTTTATAACTGTTTTTGGTTGTACTGAGAATTGAAGCAGACCTTTCACACTGAGCTACATTCATAGTCCATTTATTTTTAGTTTTTTTATTTTGAGACAGGATCCCAGTAAGTGCTAAGTTGTCCAAGCTGTCTTGAACTTTTGATCCTCCTGTCTCAGCCTCCAGATTCTGGTATGATGAGCCCTGCACCAACTTTGTCATTATTGAAAGGAGAGCCTGGGATTTGGCTCAATGGTTCCCCTGCCTGCCTCTCAAGCACAAGGACTCGAGTTCAATCCCTGGCACCAAAATAAAAAAAAGAAAGGAGAATTTGCCCTCAATAATTTGGGGAACTGATTAATTCATATTTTCATTTAAGGAAATTATGTAAAGTATCTGTTATGTAATTCATTAAATTTTCATTATTTTTATTTTAGAAATTAAGGAAGAAAATGAAAGAATACTGAATCCTGAAGAATTGGTGTCTCTGGAGGAATATATTCCTACTCGACATACAAGTATTACTCTTCTCAAATGTACTTGCACAATTTTCATGGCTGAATTCAACTTGCTAGACTATTTACTTCCTGTCATCATGGGAGAAAAGGTATACTTGCAATTCACTACTTTAAAAAAAAATCATGTATATGTAATTTTATTAAATAAAAGAATATGTGCTTATATAGTTATCCATGATGGAATAAAACAAATTTAAATATGATTGTTAATTATTAGTAAATTTACATATGTATATTTAAAAAAATAAATGTAAGGCCACGTTATATGAAGAAACATTGAAATGCTTTGGACTAAAGAAGCTTAAGCCATTGCTTTATGTCATTAAATGACTTTATGTCATTTTCCTTTTTTGGAAATAGAAAATTATATTTTTTCAAGCAGACTTTCAGATTTACCCAGTAAAGAAGCAATACACAGATCTAGTTTATTACTTACCTATACAGCAAAAGCAAAATGAGTAATGCTGTCACCTTCCATAGGACAACACAGCAGCCAAAGGGCCAAGTAACCTAAAAGATGAGTATAGTAGGGTACCTGTTTGGTAAGGAGTCAGCCTTACACTGCAGCTAAATAGTTGGATAGCCTTCAGCTATCCTTTGAGGGTAAGAGGTAGGCAGAAAGCCCTACATCTCACCTAAAGGAGGAAAGTTGAAAAATCTCATGGCAACTTTCTACATCCTGAGAAAGTGAGTGAGAAAGTCTGTTAGCAGCTCTTTGTTAGATCACCCATTTTCCTTTTATCTTGAGCATCACGAGATAATGTACCCAGACTTAGATCTGCTGTGATTGAGCTTTGCCTTTGCCACATGGATCTGTGTGAGATTGTCAGGATGTTGGTGCCAGTGAGTTTCTCTCGGATTATTTTGAGTATTCACTGAGACAATGCATATAGATTATTTAGCCTATGTTAAGAACCCAGTGATTTCTGCTTGTTATTGCTAATGAAGACTTATTAGATGCTTAATATTTAGTTAAAGTCCATATATAATAAATTGGTTTCTGACTTATACACATAGGCTTTATCTGTTAATTTATTAGGTTTTGTCATGTTTCTTTTGATGTCCATATAATGATGTTTTCTATGAAAATGTCCTAACTTTAAAATTAATGGCAGAGAATTGACTATGAGACATTAGTTTCATATTGTATATTTGCTCCCTATTGGCCACTCATCATTAAGAATTTATTAGAGGACCGGGGATTTAGCCCAGTGGGTTCACTGCCTGCCTCATAAGTGCAAGGTCCTGAGTTTGATCCCCAGAACTGAAAAACAAAAACAAAAACAAAAACCCCAAGAAAGCCCCCCAAACCAACCATAATCTCTTATGGGCCAGGGATTTAGCTCAGTGGTTGCTGCTACCTACCTTGTAAGCACAAGATCCCGAGTTCGATCCCTGGTACCAAAAAAAATAAAAAAATAAAAAATAAATTAAAAAAAAAAAGAAAACAATTGTTTTAGCATTAAGACATCATGTTGAAAAAAATGAAAACTTCACTATTGTATTTTCTATCATTTCTATTTTTGTTACCTAGCTTTTATATTTTTTTAGATGAATTAGGTTCATATCAAAATGGAATGGGAGATATAGTGATTTCTTATATACTTTCTGCCTATACACATGTATTACTTATCAATCTCCCTCACCAGATTGGGAAATTTGTTATGATTGCAGGAATCTCATCAGTACTTCACGCTGAATCCCTGTTTATATTAGGATTCACTCTTGGTGTTTTATGTTCTACAGGTTTTGACATATGTAATATATATATATATATATATATATCTCCTATAACAGTATTGTGTCAAGTAGTTTCACTGCCTTAAAAATCCCGTGATGCTTCCTCCTCTTTTCCCTCCCTCACCCTATTGGCAGTTCCTGATACTTTTACTGTTTTACCTTTTCTAGAATGTTATATATTTAGAATATTTCAGTACATGGCCCTTTAAGATTAGCTTCTTTCTATAATATACATTCAGATACCCATCAATTCTTTTTATGGATTCACATCTCATTTAAGCACTGAATAATATTCCATTGTTTGTATTTATCACAGTTTATTTGTCCATTTGTCTACTCAATGAGATCTTGGTTGCTTTCATGTTTTGGCAGTTATGGATAAAGCTACTGTGAAACATTTTTGTGAAGTTTTTAACTCCTTGGTGTAAATACTAATGAGTACAATTATTGGGTTATATGGTAAGAGTATGTTTAGTTTTCTAAGATGCTGTCAAACTGTGTTCTATGTGGCCGTATGATTTTTCATTTCTATTAGCAATGAATGAGCCATACCTTGGATTATTAGCCAGGGTCTTTTAAAAGGAATTGGCTTATTTCATCTAGGTTATCAAATTTATGAGTATAGAATTGTTTATAGTATTCTTTTATTATCTCATTAATGCCCATGGTTTTGTAATGATGTATTTCTTTCATGTGATATTAGTAATTTGTATCTTTTTTCTTTTTTTCTTATATAGCCTGGCTAGAGGCTTATTGATTTTTAAAAAAATCTTTTCAGAGAACAAACCAGGTTTTGATATTATTAGTTTTCTCTATTGTTTTCTTGTTTTCATTTGTTTTGATTTCTGTTTTAATTTTTGTTATTGCTTCTGCTTATTTTGAATTTAATTTGTCATTTTTTTTTCCAGCTTTAATTGAGTTTATTGGTACATTTTAGGGATACAGTACAGTTACATTCATTGTTGGGATCTTGTACCTCTACATGACAAGTCTTGATTCTCACTTTTTCCCCTTACCCCTGCCCTCCCTTCACCCCCTCCCCCTTGTCATTTTTATAGTTTCCTAAAGATGAAGCTTAGATGGTTGATTTTAGTTTTTATTTTCTATAGCATTCAGTGCTATGTTTTTCTCTAGGCACTGTTTTTACTAAGTGCAAGAAATTTAAGTTGTGCTTTCATTTTCATTTAATTCAAGGCAATTTGAGTTTAACGTCTGACATTTTTTCTTTGATCTCTGTTATTTTGTTAACTGTATAGTGATTCATGTTTTTTTTTCTCCTTTCTAATGATTTTTATTTCATGTATTTTGATGGTTTCTCTTTAGTATGTATATATTAGCACCTTTTAATTCCTAATACCTTTCCTTGGTTAGAGATTTTTTCCAGGTCTGAAAAAAAGACCTACTTCTGCTTTCTTTTGATTAGTATTGCTGTCCATGTCTCCATTACTTTTAATCTATATGATTGTATATTTAAAGTGGGTTTCTCCTAAATAATATATAAACTAAGTCATATTTATTGGTTCACAAAATTTCTGACTTTTAATTGGTACATTTAGACTATTAATGTATAAAGTAATAATTGATGCAGTTGTAGTAATAGTCACTATAGTTTTTTTTAATTTATTAATTTTATTGAGTTTATTGGTACATTTTAGGGATACAGTACAGTTACATTCATTGTTGGGATCATGTACCTCTACATGGCAAGTCTTGATTCTCATTTTTTCCCCTTACCTCTGCCCTCCCCTCACCCCCTCCTCCCCTCCCCATCTACAAACACTTTATTTTCATCTTTTCATTTTCTCACATTTTTTCTTTTCCCTTTTTGTTCTTCCCCTACCCATCACACCTTCCCTGCACCTTTAGCTCCTTTCTTCCCATTTCTAAATGTCAGTAATCTTATTAGAATCTTATGCATTGTTGCAGATTATTAACACCAGGGAAACTATTTGGTATTTACACATGTGTATAGTCACCATAGTTTTTAACATTTTCTACATATTACCCTGTTTCTTTGCCCTTATTTATGTCCTCTTTTATGTCTTTTGTGATTTTCATTGAGCATTTTATATGGCTGTTTTCTCCTCAGTAATAAAAATAAGCAAAAGTCCTGTCAGATTGCTGGCAAACTCCTAAGATGCTCATGTGTAATTCAAGACTTTAGGAAATCTAGCAGAAAATAGGTGGAAGAGCAATGTAGAAGTTTTACTGTCTTTGTGCTGCTGGATATCAACAATTAAGAATTCATGCCTGGGCCAGGGATTTAGCTCAGTGGTTCTGGTGCCTCTCTCATAAGCGCAAGGACCCAAGTTTGATCCCAAGTACCAAAAAAAGAATAGAAAAGAAAAAAAAAAAATTCATGCCTTGCCAAGTGAATACCTAGTGCTTTTCTTTGTGATCTTATAAGGGCTATACACTAGTGAATACAGATTGAAATATATTAGTCCTAATTTCAGTCCTGAAGCGAACCAAGATGATATGCTTATTTTCTGTCCATTTGCTAAAGAATATTTTAATTCCCCTTGGAAGAAGATAACATTATAAAAATCTTGTATTCTTATCCATGGTGACAGCCACCTAATAAAAACTGAGATAAACTAAGAAACAGAACAGATTAAATTTAATTTAAAGAGGAAAATTAAGAATAAAAGCATTAGTAGATATGATTGAGATATTGGTGAGCTGGGGCTATAGATCATTGGTTGAATATTTGACTAGCATGCATGAAGCCTTGACTTCAATCCCTAGCAATACATACATGCACACACACATGCATACACACACAAAGACGTTGGGGCTATTACCTATGGAGTTTAAGTGATTTTTTTTAGCTTCCAGAAAAAGAAAAGTGGAAGATTTCAAAATAAATCTGAATCATAAAAAATTAAAATTTTGTAACTCAAAAGTTTAAGGGCACAAGTGAGAAGTAAAAGGATGGAAAAATAAGATGTTTTAAATGCTAATCAAAAGAATAATGGTAGATCTGTTTCAATACCAAAAGTAAATTTAGGGTAAGAGTTATCAGAAATAAAAATCTGCTTCATACTTACGAATATGTCAAATCAAAAGATGAACACAGTAAAGAATTCCTTCAAATGTTACAGTGAGTAAAAAGAGTACTATGTGATTCCATGTATACGAAGTTCAAGAAGAGACCATAGACTGACTACCTATGGTGATTGAAGTGAGAACATTGGCTATCCCTAGTGGGCATTTAAAATTTCCTAGATTTTCTCAAAATGGAAATGAAGTGTTTGAAAAGGGGGAGGGAGGAGGGGTAAAGGTAGGGCAGGGACAGGGGAAAAAAATGAGAACCAAGACCTGTCATGTAAAGGTACAAGATCCCAATAATGAATGTACCTGTACTGTATACCTAAAATGTACCAATAAACTCAGTGAGGAAAAAAAAAATTTCCTAGAAAGAGATATTGGATAGCCTTGCAGGGTGCTTCAAGTGGGTGGTAGTTACAGGTATGTGAATTTATTGAGCTTTACACCTCAGATTTCTGTGATTTACTGAATGTTTTTTCTCAGTAATAATAAAAGTCACTTAAAAAGGTAATTATCAAACAAATGATGATTTTATTTATAATAATGAACAAACAATCGGGATTATATATTTATTTTAGCCAGTTTTAGGTATACTGTATTGTTTCTCAGTAATGACATTTGGATTTTTTGTGATTGAGAAAGTAGTATGTAGCATTTACCATCTTTGGGAAATGCCTGCAAAAAGGCAGTATTACTGTGACAATGAAAGCCAGACAAAAGAAAACAAAGAAATTACTACTCTTACTTATTTTTCACATTCCTCTGGATGGAAAGTAATTCCATTCTTCATTGAAACTTTCTTTAAGGAAGTTAGTTCATGGACCAGAAGGTGGGTTATTTATCATTTCCTTAATTGACACTTTGGACACCTTAAAACTTACCTGTATTTATTTAGAGTTCTAAAAGGTTCTGCAGAGGATACCAAGTCCTCAAGATTTTTAGCACTTTGAGCCTTTCACATATATATTATTAGTAAATATGATTTTGATTAGACATTTTTTCCTTCCTTTATGCTTTGCTTATTGTGACTATCTTAATTCTTGTCTTATAGTTCACTTAATTGTCTAAATGTGAATAAAGGGAAAGAAAAATAAGTGTTCTAGCTTTTGTTTATCTAGAAATTATTTTGAAATCACTGAGCTTAAGAAAATACAGGAGATAAAAAAAGACAATGAATGCTTAAATAAAAAATTATTATAGTGCGATTTACATTGCCATTAATCACCCTCAAAGTATCTCACTTCAAATACACTTTTTGCTTATTCTTTTTGGTACTGGGAATTGAACTCTGGTCCTTGCACTTGCAAGGCAGGTGGCGGAACCACTGAGCTAAATCCTTGGCCCCTTTCTGATTATTCTTGCCACTTTCTACAGCACTTCTGGAAGTCCTGTTTTGTGAGTGTCTTTGAGAGGTAATGATAAAAAATGTGAATGCTGCCAATGTGCACCACGCAAATGGCAGGCTCAGAAAAACATTATACTGTGTCTTCATCCAACTTACAGAATCTGGTACCATGTGGCTTCTGGCTTTTGCCCAAGGTCAAATGACCATGAAAGGTTGATTCAGAACATCGAGTCAGACATGACGATGCAAATAAAGACATGAACTCTTATAGAAAGTGGAAAGAATGATGAGATAAGTGTGTTCAAAGTGAGGGTAGTATTTTGATGGAGATTAATGACAGTATGTATTTTAAACATTTAAAACTTTGTATTTTAGATCACTCATACTTTCATCATACTGAAGCATAGTTTCAGTTGATTGAAGAAATAAAAAGTGCTACCTAGAGGGAAATGGTAATTTTATAAAAATATGCATTCTTTGAAAATTAATGTAGAATATATTCATATTTTGTTATGGTAAGAGCTGTATTTTCATAATTTCTGGCTTGATTTAATATCACTGTGAGCTGTGCAAGTACATCAGTCATTGCCCTACTCCTAAAATATAAAGTCAACATTATTATTTTCCAGAACTCAAGTAACTTCATGAATACTACAAATTTCCAGACTCTTCGGCCTTTGCCATCCATTCAGATATTGATGGATAAAATTAATCTGGAATATTCTGTCCCGATGTATGCTGAACATTTGGTGCATATGGTCAGCAGCCTTAGTCAGCCTTCTGATAATCTGCTTCATTATTGCTATGTACACTGTTATCTTAAGGTATGAAAGGTTCATTTTCTTATTTCCTAATGTCTTTCACTTTGAGAGTATCAGATTTTTCTTTCAGTTGTAATTTCATAGAATTAGTACTCCATGTTAAGATTTAAATAAGATATAAGATAGATTTAATCATTATTGCAATATAATTAAAGCGAGATAAAAATGTATTCATTCAAAACTTTTTTCTTTTTCTTTTTTTTTTTTTTGGTACCAGGGATCGAACTCAGGTCCTTGTGCTTGCGAGGCAGGCTGCAGAACCACTGAGCTAGACCCCCAGTCTACAGTATTTTTCTTCATTGTTGAATCAGTAGCTTGATGTTTGTAAATTAATGATAATTATAAGTTTTGAAGATTGTATGTATCATTAATGATGATTAATGAAAGAAAATTTAGTCTAATATGGGTGCTTTAAAGACATTCTTTGAAGGAAAATTTATCTGAGGTATAATGTTTCATAAAGTGGGTTTAACATATTTTTAGTCACTTCTTTTTAGTTGAACTTATGTCAATATCTTGATACTGAGAGAAAAATCTTTATTATTTTATCTATAGTTAGTAAACTGAGTTATTAGAAGTTTTGCCAGCTCCAGTTTTAAAAAAATGTAATACATCCCAGTGTGGGGTACACACATGTTGAGTAATCACTGTTTTTTAAAGCAAATAATAGATGTATAGTCTAAGAAAAAAACATCACATACTTAATCAAATTCTGTTATCAACAACATGAAATTCTAAAATGTCAAATTCAGGAATAAATTCTACAAAAAAGAACCTACTCAATTTTATATAAAGTAAGGACTCCCTAAATAGAACCCCTGACTCCTGTTTCATGGGTTATAGCTTAGTGTTTTAAAGTTCTTCCATATTTATATATTTTTAAAGTAGAGATCAATTTAAAGATAATAGTTTTAGATTACCTACAGATTAATTTTGAGATGTTAAAATTAGCTAAAATTTTTGAGATGTTAAAACCACATAAAATGGAAGAACGTATTTGCTAGATGTCCTGTTAAAGCCCTTTTTCAAGAGGATTGGAAGAGAAATATATCACATTGCAAAGTGATGTGGAGACAGAGAAGTACAATTTTTGGGGAACCATTAACATGATGATCTGCCTCAATGTTTCATGTTATATGGAGGGTAGCAGAAGATATTTTTCAAAGTTTGATACATAGAGAATATTTTATACTTGTCACAGAAGTGTATGATATTTTAAAGTATTGATATAATTTCTATCAGATTAATATGTGCATTTAAAAAAAGTAGTTCTAATTTTAGGTAGTTTACTAATTAAGTTATTCTGCTTATATGGGATTTATCCATTTTCAACGTTTTCTTTCTGTATTGAAGACATTCAACATTAATGATAAAGAATGTGTCCTCTCATCTTCAAGGAAAATGCTCTCAAAGTCTTTGGTTACCAATATATTTACCGTTCATACTGACCAGGAGTTACTAACCCTAACCCTAACCCTAATGTAGGAAAATCATTGGCATTAAGAATATTGAATATTAAAATAAAACCTTGAGTCCTGGTTGTTTTTTGAATATTTCTTTTTATTTTTGTGGTGTAATATATTTTAATATTTTCAGGATTTGTTAAACGTTTTCATTAATATGACTCCTGAACTGACTCAAAATTCTAATTTGTTGTAAAGTTTATAGCAGTTTCTATTTCTTAAGATGATTTCAACAACTTGAAGAATTTTCTAAATTTCATTTGTATTGTTACAGTGTTTTAACAATACAGTAGAGGATTTGTGTGTGTGTTTTGTGTTTGACATTTTTAGTAATCTTTAATTACATACTTAAATGCTTGAGTTCTGTGTATACTGGTGTTAGCTGTGTGATGGAATGATTTGTCATTCTCAGTTTACAAAATGAAATTTATCAATTGGGAGGATTGGCATGGATATAACATAGAAAATATGAATATGAAATTTTACTTTTAATTGATAGTAAAACTGTACAGATTTATTACAGCATATTTTATGATATGTGTTATTATGGAATTACTTAAGCTAATGGACATGTACATTACCTTATATACTTTTTTCTTCTTTGAGAACATTTAACATCTCACTCATTTTGAAAATCCAGTATATTCTTATTTACTACAGTACTTATGCAGCTGTCTCTCTTGAACTTACTTTTCCTGACTGAAATTTTGTATCCTTTCACTAGTATTTTCTCAGCCCCTTCTGCTCAGAGACAAAACCTGCCTATGCCTTATCAGGGCCTCTTTGTTTATTTGGCAAACTCATCCTTTGAATATGTATGTCATTGAGTAGCTTAAACATCGCAAGGCATTTGATATTTGAAACACATGTAGAAAATAACATATGAATGTACTCAATAAATTGTGAAAGAGTATATAGCTTTAAGGCTTCTTTATTCATAAGGATCAGATATAAGATGTTTCTGAGACATTAAGGTTGTAGTATCAAAATCCCTTGGATTCAGTAATTTTTTATCTCAGATCCCTAGGATTTCGAAGAACTGGAACTTTTCTACACATCTATTTGTGCTATAAATTGGTATAATAATTTTGCAATGTTCTTTATCAGGTCCAATAAATTCATAAGCACATCTGTCTTAATACTCCCTTATCCCAATTTTCAGCATATACCCAGTGGGTGAGAAAAGCAAATTTTGTTTAAAAGATGAGAGCATAAATATTTTTACATTTTGTGGGACAATAAAAGAATTGAAGATTGTGTAGGTATTTAGAAAAAGAGGCAAAACAGTTTCCATAATTTCTGAATTGACAACTTTCAAAATGTTACTAATTAAAATTTTTTATAATAAAATTTTATTAAAGTGAATAGAATTCTTTTTCTTGGGATAACATTTTACATAATTGAGAGTCCAGTGGAGTATTTGCACCCATCATTACATTGATTATAAATGTTTATATATGAAAATTATATGCTGTACAAACATAGGCAGTGTGTGCGATTTGGTCTCAGCTGTAACTTGCTTTTGCTGTTTTCTTCTGAGAGCTTAATTGCTTAGGAATTAAGTTCACTAAGAAGGTAAAAGACTTGTACAATGAGAACTACAAAACATTGTTGAAAGAAAGATATAAGTAAAAGGAAACATATCCCATGTTCATGGATTGGAAGATAATATTAAAATGTGATGATTAAGCTTAATTTTGTCAGCTTGAATGGTGTGGGGAGCACCCAGGGGACTGGTGGAACACATTTCTGTGTGTGTCTGGATGGGTCATGGGTCATTACTTTAGTCATATCTGTTCCTCTCCCCCTTCATCTCTGGCACTATTCCGCTGCTGTACTTCCCTTCTATCATGAACTAAGCAGCTTTGTTTCCCCGTGATATTTCTGTCTTGGAGCCAGCTGGACATAGAGTGAGTTCTTTTAAAATGGGTGCCAAATTAGACCTCTTTTTCTTTAAGTTGTGGGTGTTGAGCATTGTATCCAGAAATGGGATAGCTAATACAATGCAATTCCTTAAAAAAATAATTTTTTTTAAGAAATAGGAAAGCACATTCTAAAATCCATATGTAATCTTGAGAGACTCCAATAGCCAAAACAGTCTTGAAAAGAACAATGCTGGAGAATTTACACTTCTTGATTTCAAAACTTACTACAAAGCTATAGTAATTGTAATGGTTTATAACTAGATTCCCCCCCCCCAGGCCTTATGTCCTTATAAGTGGAGATTTTGGGAGGAGATTGGATCATGGGAGTGTGATACTTATCACTGGATTAGTCCACTGGTGAGTTTATTGTTAAATGTGGTTTTAGGTGGTAAAGTCTGGTCAGAGTATCTGGGTCACTGGAGATGTGGTCTGTCAGGGTGTATTTCCCTTCCTCCTTTGATCTCTGTCTGCTTCCTGTCTGCCAGTCCATGGAATTTTTCCTCTGATGTGCCTCTCTGTCATGCCACCCTTAGAGTCAGTTGACTATGGACTGAAACCTCTACAAACTGTGAGCCAAAATAAACTTTTCCTTCTTGATGAAATTGTGAATGTTGGGTATTGTGTTGCAGCAATGAGAAATATAACTAGGACAGTAATAAAAACAGTTTGATACAGGCATAAAAATGGACATATTTACCAATGGAATAGGGTAGAGAGGCCAGAAATAAACGTTCATATATAGCCAAATGAGTTTCGACAGGCATGGCAAGACTACTCAGTGGGAAAGGATACTCTTTTTAACAGTTAGTACTAGGAAGCTGAATGTCAATATGCAAAAAAATGAAGGTGGGCCTTACCTAACACCACACACAAAAATTAATTCAAAGTGATTCAGAGACCTAAATGAATATTTTCAAAAATATTTTGTTCCTTTTTATGATGAAATTATAACATTCCATTTATGGTTATACTACACTTTATTTTCCCATTTATCACTTCACGAATATTTAGGTTGCTTTTACTACTTGGTTATTATGAATAATATGGCTATGAACATTCATGTCAGGTTTTATGTCTCTTACCCAAGAGTAGCCAAACTTTCTTCCAGAGGATTTCCCTGTTTTGTTGTCTAATCAGTGAGTAAATAAAGATTTCTGTAGTCTCACATCCACACACTTGCTGTTGTCTGTCTTTTTAATTTTAGACATCTTAGCAAGTATAAAGGGGCATCTTGTAGTTTTGAGTTGTATTTCTAGACTGAGTAAGGGTGCTGAGCATTTTATTTTTCACATTCATTGCACGTTGGCCATATCCATATCTGCTGTGGAGAAATATATATATTCACATCTTTTGCTCATTTTAAAATTGGGTTATTTTTATTTTTATTTTTATTTTTATTTATTTTTATTTTTGGCACCGGGGATTGAACTTGGGTCCTTGCACTTTCAAGGCAGGTCACCGAACCGCTGAGCTAAATCCCCGGCCCTATTTTTATTGTTGACTTGCAAGTATTTTTATATTTTGAAGGATTTTACATCCTTAACAATGTAAGCAACAGCCTGATTGTATTCATATTTTTGGAATTCTAGGTGATGGCAAAGTCACCATATTTATAGTTTAACTGGCTTAAGTTGCTGAGGAAAAAAAATAAAGAGAAAATCATTCTTAATTTCCCCCTTCTGAGAAAAATGTGTCGGATTTCATTCAGATTTTCTTTTGTTTCTGTAATTACAAGAACTACATTGAGAGGAGTTTCTATTAGGCTCTAGGCTACTCAGTCAAGATATTCACTGATGAAAGGAGAGCAAAGTAATTTTATTCACAGTTGGAGAAGTGATGGTGAGAAAGATTGCTTTTATTTAACAATAAGTGGAGCACCAACCTTCTTTTTTAGGAGAGGGGAAGGAGGAATTTGAGGGAAGAAGGAGAGTTAGGTGAAATTGAGCCAACTAATGAGTTAAATGAAGTGAAGCATCATATTGCTGCTGCAGTGATATATAATTTTGAAGACATCTTTAATCCCTTTTTACTTCATTTTTCTTATAAATGAGATGATTGAATCAAATTTTTAAGCTGTTTTAGCTTTAAAAACCTGTGGTCTGTTCTGGTTCTGTTACTCCTAAATGCTTTTGCTTTAGAATATGTTTATTATGCTGTATTATTGTGCAGTTGTAGTCTTCAGTTTTTTTTCAATATATTGATTACAAAGCAATTTTTTACATGAAAGCAATGATTATTTGTTCCTTTAGGGAATAATTATACAATGTGGCTACAATGACAACATGAAAATGATTTCTTTTATATCACAGTTACTTTGTTTTTATTGGCATTCATGGTTAACGTGTACTTTTTATATTTTTATGTTTAAATTTGTAAATCTTAATTTATCATCCTAATTTTTGTTAATAACATTTATAGATGTTTTAGGATGTTTTAAAATCTCAATATTTCTTCTCCTTGAGTTGTTAGATCAAGAACATTTGTCATAAAATATTGCTGATTATTTTTATCTTTTGCCAATTTTTTATTCAGTAGCATTATGTTTAATTTTCATTTAATGTGTTATTTATGTCATCTTATCAAATGTATGTTTAGTTCAGCTAAAATTTACATTGGTATTTACACTTATATTGCTTTATACATTTTTACTGCTTCAGACTATTGGTTTTCAGCTTTCAACACACTCTTACATTTCTAAATATGTGTACTACCCTTCATAAAAATTACTTCATTTCATACTGTGCTGGTTTTCCTTTTTTTCAGATTATATATTTATAACGTTGGTGAAATAGTGTTGACAGGCCGATACGATATATAAATATTGTAAATCTGTATATCTGATTGCTATGATTTAGGAGAGAGTTGAATATTTATACTGATACAGTTATTTTTGATAGGGTAGATAGGAAGTACAATGTGATATATTAAATATAATTTGGCAGTATATAGAAGGTAATATGTCTAATAGATCCTCTTTGTTTATAATATTTACCTGCTTGAATGTTTCCTTAGCATATGTAAGAAACATGTAAATATAATACAGTATTTTAAAAGATAATGCAATTAATTACGTAGTTTTCCTGAAGTCCTTTGCAATTCTTCAGATAACCAGCAGGGGATCTCCTCTGCACCCTGTTCCATTAGAGTACTGCTAATTAGAGTGTCTGATTATACTTTTGGGGCATTTTTAACAGAACATTAGAAAGTAGCTTTGAGAGTTCTCAGTTGAACATAGATAATATGATGTGATAAAATGTATCTTTTTTTGGAGGCTAGATATTTTTTGATAATTGTTTATATTATGTAATTGTAAATTTTAAAATTGTTTAAATACTTGACCATTATGAGAAAATGTGAAATGCCAGAATTATACAGTGCCCAACACATTTCTTTGCATACACTGTTGGTCAGAATAGATCTTTAGAAAGAACAAATGTGTAATACATTAATTTTTAAGTTATGATTTTAAGTAATCATTTTGATATTCAAAACATAGCCTTTTCTTTTTCTTCTCAGTTTTGTACTTGCCCATTTGTTAATAGCAGAACATAAAGAAATTAATACTATAGTTACAACATTTTAATTTTTCATGACTAATTGCATAAATATGTCCTTTGAAATGCAGTTTTCTTTGAAAATGTAATTCTTAATGCTCAGAACACTGTTTCATTCATTAAAAACTGGTTTTAAAAGAAAGTATTTAACATTATCAGTTGACAGATATTAGGGGCATACTAGGATTTTGAAACCATTTGGATTTAGCTTAATCTAAATATTATAAGTGAATTTGTGTTATATGCTAGTAATTGAACCCAGAGCCTCCTGCAGAGTCAGTTGCTCTGCCACTGAGGAACATTCACCCTCAGTTCTCTTTTTAAGAAATTGATCATTGTTTTATGATCATTGAATAAATATACTGTACCTGAAGATTTTTTAATAGAGTTTATCGTTAACATTAATCCTTGAGATTGGGTTGATAGCTGTGAAATCAGTGGAATATAAAACTGGGAATTTAAAAATAAATTGGAAAGCAGTGGTACTGTTTTGTGTTCCTGTGTGTCAGTCTTTTTAGTATGACATGGTCATCTTTTATTATATTGGAAATAATCAGAACAGAAATGACATTAGTTCTCTGTGATGTTTGATGTAAAATATACTGTTAAAATGTTTCTTTCTGTTTAGATAATCACAATGTCCTGTAAAAGTAGGGATTGCTTATACAATATTTTAGTGTGAGTTGCTTATTTTAAGGGTAAACATAGGAAGAGTAATTAAACCATGTACAAAATTTCCTAGAGTATAAAACCTCAACTTTACAATTATTTTCACGAGAGAAAAGAGAAAGTAACCATAGGATATTTTTGGATATCCATTTTGTGTGTGAATAATGAATGTTGAAGGCAACGTACATTTTTAAGATTGTTCTTATAGTTCTTGTACTTTTAGTTAGATTTTATTGAATTTATAATTTACAGTGGGGATAATGCAGTTAGCTGGGTATACTTTTGGAAAATATATAAATTTCAGCAGGTAAAAATACTACTGTTACATGAAATAAAATATTAAACTTAAAAATGTCAAAAGCAATGATCTTTCACGGATATGAAAAAATGCTATATATTTCGATCTCTTATTTTTGAAGAAAAGAAAATGTTGATTGTTTGGCAAGTAGAAAAATACATTGGAACATATTGTGCAGCTGTTGTACAGTGAGTTGAAACTTACGTATTTCATCCTGTGCTTATTAAAACTTTCTGAACATTTGGATCTTTTCTTTTTGTTTCAGATATTTGGTTTCCAGGCAGGACTGACATCTTTGGATTGTAATGGATCTTACTGCTTACCTGTGCCAATTATTCCCTCCTTTAGCACTGCTGTTTATGGTAAATTACTAAAACTCCCCACCTGCTGGTAAGTATTACATGTTAAAATGTATTTATGTTACTTTTCGTTACATAATTTAAAAAGGGGATAAAATCAAGTATATCTGTCCTATGCCCATATATTAGTTTTGTGTAAAGCTTTAGAAAAACCTCTGAAGTTATAATGTCTTTTATGGAAACTATAAAAACCTTTTAAATGAAATGTATTAGTTCACAGTATTTTTGTGGTTATAATAACTCTTGGGGGAATAACTGGTAATCTTTGCTGGAGATATAGAGTAAAATGTTGCTTCAGAGTGTAATTTGGAATAAGAGCAAGTGCCTTTTTCTTCGAGAGAAAATATAAAGAAAGGTTTTAATTAATACTTAAGGCCAACACTTGTCTATTAAATAATTTTACATATTCATAATCCCTGAGTAATTTGTACCTTTACATAAAGTTTGGCTGTCTCTGATATGTTCAGTAGCTACGTATTGGAAGAAATTGATATTTAGTTATTCATTTTCATTTAGGATTGAGTTGCCTCATTTGGAGAACATATTTCCTTAAACTTTGCTTTTCTTTCTATAAATTTCTATCTTTACTTGCTTTTAGTTAAAATCATGTGTTTTTAGTTAAAGCAATACTTTTAGTATATTAAAAGTAATTAACTTTATGAAATAATATGTAAATATCTGAAATTATTTTCTGCTGAAATACTTTTATATTTTAAAATTAAATCATTTTAATTATTTAGAATATATCTTTACTTTTTCATCCTGGTTAGTAACCTTTTTTTTTCAGAATATTATTTCCATTCGCTTTTTAGTGTGGCACAACTTTTAGAAAAAATAGATATTAATTTATTTAAAATACTTCAGTTATTTTAATGCTGTATAACTTTTAAAATGAAGTTAGTAACAAGAGTAGATACATTTTCAAGGAGATTTACTTATTTAGCCAGAAAACTTAAAATAAAAATACAAGTTGTAATAAAGGCTTGGAATAAATTATTGGATAAAATGAAGACATTAAAGGTCATTATTCATAATTCTCTTGATAAAGTTTATTTTTCTTTTTTCACCAGTATTTCTCATATGTCATTTATTAGGCTATTTAGATATGAGTTTAACTTTTTATTTGTGTGTATGTAGCATATTGACTACATTCATGTCAAATTTGATATTCTAATTTATAAGAAATACTATGGGATTAATCACAGTTGATATATCAGTATCAATTTACTAAGTGTCTCTAAAAATGGTCATCTCAATTATATGCTGATCTCCTGATTATTTACAAGTCTAAAATAATTTTAATAGTGCTGTTTTTTTGGAAAAATTCTATCTTCCTCAAAATGTCCAACATAATAAAATGAACTGTTCACTTTGTATCAAAAGAATTAAATATTTAAATACATGGGGTTTATTTTAAGGATATGTAGGGTTTACTGGAAATATTGTCATATGTGATCTAAAACATGTCTGCAAACACCTTAAAGAACAGTACAGGGTCAGGAATTTAGCTCAGTGGTTCAGGCACCTGCCTCGCAAGCGCAAGGACAGGAGTTCCATCCCTGATGCCGCCCCCTCAAAGAACATGCAACAACTAAATACAAAAGACAAAATGCTAATACTTACTTGGATGTGTTTTTGTTTTTTTTCTAGGTAAGGTCACTTGTACATAATTCCATTGAAATTTTCTCTGTGCTTTATAAAAGTATAATGCTTTGTTTCTTTAAATTATTTTTCTTAATAAATAGAAAATGTTATCTTCAGTAGTTTTTAGCAACTCTTAATTTGAAAAGAAATATAAAATTCAATAAGTTGAGCTATTGCTAAGTGCATTTTGAAGTCAATGAAACACCAGAGAAATTACTTATGTAGTACTTTAGTTAAGTCAAAATCAGCATGAAGACCAAGAGTTTTATTTAACACTCAGGGACGATTATTTTAGTAGAACATCTAGATTATGTCATTTAATGTCAACTCTTTTCCTACCCATAGTTTTCTCTTTCCTAAATTATACAAGATATTCCACTTGGATTCTAAAAGTTCATATTACAGACTTTTTAAAAGTACACATATAATTCTGTGTAAATTTTTCATTTAATAATAGAAATAATGTTTTTCCTGTAACTCACAGCTTTTTTTTTTTCTTTTGATACCAGGGATTGAACTCATGAGCTTAGAGTTCCAAGGCATTCGTGTTACTTCTGAGCTAAATCCACAGCCCCAGCCCACAGCTTTGATACAGTGACATTGATAGCCCATTGTAAAAGTATTTAGTACGTTTGGAATTATTAGTGAAAATTCAAACCTTATGTAAATGAGCAAAATAGTTTATGCAATGGGTGATCAAAAATATGTTTAAATTTATAAGGTTTTATTATAATAAAAGACACATTGCCATTATTTCCCTCAAAGTATCTCCCCTCATTTTGAACACACTTACCCATTGATTTTGCTATATTCTGAACCAATTCTGGAACTCCTCTTTCATAATGGTCTTTAGGAGGTAGGGCAAAAAAATGGTGAATGCTGCCACCACATGCTGTCCAACTGGAAAGTAGGCTAATAAAACATTATGGTGTGTCCTCATCCACCTTTTCCCCAGGTATGGCACCAAGTGACTTTTGGCTTTTCCCCAAAGTCAAAATGACCATGAAAGGTAGAAGTGTTTATTTGATTCAAGACATAAAGGTAGCCATGACAGGACAGTTAAAGACATGGAAAAGAACTCCTTTAGAAATGGCAAGAATGCTGGGATAAGTGTGTTTGAAGTGAGGGAGAGTATTTTGAGGGGAATTAATGGCAATGTATCTTATACTCTAATTTTAAAAAAATTAAACACTGCATATTTTTATCACACCTTATACTTTTCATTTATAATTATTTCTAAACTGAACTGCTAATTATGTATGACGTTTCAGTTAGAATGTTTAGTATAATCAGGTTTGGTAATAGTTTTTGAAAATGTGTGGTTTAAAAACATAACATTGAAAATTTCTCATTTAAAAAATTTTTTCAATATATTTGAGCTTCAACAAGCAAACGCTTAAGCAGTTAGAATTTATTTTCCCATTTTTTGTGGCTATATTGTATTTTTCATTGTATACTGCCTAGTTTTGAAACGTAAACATCTCAAAAAAAATTTTTTTTGTATACTAGCTCATGTTAGGTTGAAATTTCATTCTGTTGGTCTCTTAGAAAAAGATTGAAGAGTGTTTAGGGTATAGTAGAAAAGGCACAGTGACCAGTAATGACAGAAATTTTGTGCAATAATTCAAATATGGATTAACTTCTTTTAAAAATAGGAGATTATTTACAGATTTAGTTTATGTGCAGTAAAATATTATAGCTTTGTGCCACTAGCAGGTTTAAGCCTTAGTGTCCCCTGTGAATTTTATTTTCAGAATTTTTAAAGTGATGATGGTTTTGGGTGTTAGTTATTGGATTTAACTTAAAACTAAAATGGAGCAAGAATACTAAATTTTCAAGTTTATTTTAAAAAATTTCAGTTGAAGTAATGCTTATAGAAAAGTGTATTTATTATGAGTATATGTGTTCAGGTTCTTTTTTTTTTTTTTTTTAACTGAACTGAATTGAATTGTGAATAGCACACCGATGAAAAAACAGAATATTACCAGTGTCAAAACCTCTTGCCCTTCTCCCTCATGTGAGGTTAATCACTCTGTTGATAACATAGATTAGTGTGATCGTTCTTGTACTTAATATAACTGGAATCATATGACATATATTCCCTTTGACTAGTTTTGGTCACTCAGATTAATGTGTATGAGATTTATCCAAACTGTGGAATGTAGTTTTTTGATTATTTACTTGTTGCATTGGTTCCATTACATGAACATTGATAACTTACATACTTGATCTAGAATTTCAGTTTAAAAGTTAAGTTCTAAAGTTTGTGTGAATTTCTTTATTGTTCCAATATTACTTTCCTCCTTAAGAAGCTTCAGTTCTATTAGGTTATTCTATTAGTAATACCACAGTTTGATAGGGGTCACAAATCTGAAATTGAATACTTTTAATGCTTCTCATGATAGATCTTATTCTCTTTTTCCAAGCTTCTTTGTATTCGTCTGTCTGCTTTTGTGATTAACATTCTCTTAAAACTGAATGTTTTCAAAACTACTAATACTGAACTGGTATGTTAATTACCTCCACCCAAGTGGCACTAGGTTAAATTTCGGCATTGTTTATTCTGGCATTTAGTATATGCTTTCAAAGAATATTTTGAAGTGAAAAAAAATTTGCATCATCTGTTACAGCTTTCTCATTTCAAAGATGAGAAACTGAGTCCTGGAGAGGTCAAATTTCTTGTCTAGTAAGTATATCAGTGCTTCAGTTTGATACTTTCTTGAGTCAAGGTGTTTCAACTGTACCATATTGCTTTAAAATTATTTTTATTATTAGGGTAAAGCATATGTAACAAAGTTGACCATTTTAAGTGTAAAATTTAGTGGCATTATAAGTATATTCACATTGTTGTACATTACAACTACTGTTCATCTGTAGAACTTTTATATCTGTATCATTAAAAAACTAGTTCTGCATTACCTCTTCCCCCAGCTCCACTACTATTCTTTTTTTCCCTCTCTAAATTTGACCATTCTAGACCTCTCTATAGGTAAAATCATCATCAGTTCATATTTGTCTTTCATATGTAGCTCATATCACTTAGTGTATCCAGCTCATCCATGTTGTGAGCATGTATCAGAATTATATTACTTAAGTATTTATTCATTCAGTAATTCTTTTGTGAGGCTAAATTTTATGTGTGTCCTATGATTTTGTTTATGGACCTATCTATCAATGGGGCACTTGGAATCCTCCAGCCTTTTGGTAGTAGGAGTTGAACTTCTGAGAACACGTGTTCAACTGAATCTCTGCTTTCCTTCCTTTTGGATATATACCTAGAGGTAGAATTATTGACTTCCAGTTGGCTCTAGCAGTTTATATTCCCACTAGCAATACTCAAGGTTTGCATTTCATTACATCCTGGTCAACGCTTATTATTTTCACTTT